AAGGAAACCTGACGATGAGTTCAAACGCCACTTTCGTAGTTGCTACCAACTCTCAAAAGTATTATGAACTCAAAAAAACTTAAGACCGGAAAAATGGACTTTGGCGGTTTTCGCACGTCCCGATTCAATTCCTCACAGTATAAAAGCGTTTGTGAACTGATTACCAAATGTTACTTATGTTGTTACTTACTACTACTACAACAAGTGTTAATTTGCGATTACTGCAATTTCAAGAACCTTGGGGTGGAACACATATGATTTTCTTGTATCAATCTTGGGTGGCAACTCATTCTTTGGGCCTAAATTTGGGCACATGGAAAACTTATACCCAAAGTAAGTAGGGAATATAACTATTGCTGTATCGCATTTGCATTCAACCTGAATGTGTGAATGAGAGGAAAAGGAGACAAAATAATAATCCTCCCTGCACCCCGTGGTTTGACCGGTGATTATTGAAACTTCATTATCAATCAAAGACGCAAGTCCCCATTATGGCCCCATCGGTTCTCTCCACTTGCACAACGGATTATTATTTCGTCTCGCATTTTCTTCTTCATTCGCACATTCAGCGGTTTTTCAGGCCATTTAATTTGTTTGCTTAATTTCCTGGGCGAGTTTCGAAAAGTGAAGAGGCATGAATAATCAATCTTCGATATTTCTCCCTTTGAAGCTATGGTGAAGAATCGATTATTAAGGTGTACGTTATGTCAACACCCTGTTTGTCGATCCTTTTCTACATAGGTTTAAATGGCAGATCAATCGATATATCATAAAACTCGCCACGCCACTGGTTTTTGGACGGACACAACAGGGCTGTAGAGGCAATTTTGCCCCACCGTACCTTTTTCTACGCATTCTGAAGATGATTTAAAGGTGCAATCAAACTCTATGGCACAAAAATGAGTTTTCTTCTTCTTTCCTCTCTGTTTTTTGCTATTCAGGAATTGAATGCGCAAAACATTAAGATGGTGTTTGGTGCTTTCACAACCATCGTAATCGTTTGTGTTTTCTTCATTCTACCAGCCTCCGTCTCTCACATGGTAAGAGTGTAATGATTGTTGAATGTTATAATTGAAAATGTCTATTAATCTTGGCAACTATGTAAAAATGACGACTATGACCAAGAGTGTCATACGGAGTCTTTTAGATTGTAAGTTGAAATTCTTCTCTCACGACTCTAAGAGTCGGAGGTCGATCCCTGAAGCCGCGGTAAGTAGGCGATGTTAAACCCTCTGTCAATTATGACCAATATTTGCTTGTAATGAAATGGACTACATTTTGCAATTTGGAACTATAAATTCTATCCCGGTTTAAAAACAACGTATGTGCCATTGGTTTCCCTATGCACATAAGTGGTTTTCCAGAAGAGCTAGAATTTATACTTCCAAATTGCAAAATGCAGTCCAAATCATGTAGTTTCCTAATTACGTTATTGACTCCCTCCTCTAGCCAAGAAACCCTTTCTTGCACGTGTGTTGTCTTATTGTTTGATTTAGTCACAACTCTTTGTGCAGAGAACCTCTGTTCTCTTTTAAGTGAACTGAAACTATAATTTGATTTTTGAGATGGTGTTTCTCTGATTAGTTTCGGAGGACCTCCTAGGACCGAGGACACTAGCGGCAATGACCTCTATTTTAGACAAGCACAATCATAGGGTAATTATTCATGAAGAAATTGACTCAAGCTGCATTTTGCTTTAAAATCTTGAAAATTTTCTGAAGGGGAGCCTCGTGGACCCCCCTTACACCCCCCCCTCCCCGTTCGAAGTGTCTGGATCCGCATATGCGAGGATGTTTCTCTGTTTCACTTGAATTGTTGTTTCTCTGTAGGCTGGAGATGTAGCTGAACGCATTTATTTTAACGAGAACTGGGTGGCGCAAAAACACAAAATCACTCCTTACTTCCCTTTCATGATAATGCGATCACACAATTTAGTGCGATTCCGACTTTACAACTGCTGGGTTCTTTCTTCGGAAAATTTGGTGAAGGTAAACGAAGAGCATTTCTTAGTTACTTTCCCTTTTCAAGGTAACCAAAGGTGTGCGTTTTTAGTAAATATTTATAGCCACGGATCTTGAAGTCTCCATTTGAATGTCTTTCATGTATTTTCCAAAATGCAGATTCAAACAAGAGTTTCTATAATAATTGGAAGGGGGAGGGTCGCATGTAGTAGCATGCATGCGTTGAGATTTTCACATGTTTTGGTTAAAATGTAGCATACTATCTTGACTTTAATGCATTGAAAATATTAAAGTCTCTATGGCATGAATTAATTTTCGGTGTCGGATTCTGGAGGACATCAATCTATGCTGAAACTTTCATTCAGTCGCAATGAGTCCCCAAAACTCTTCCATTGAACTTTCAAAAGTTTGACAATCACTTATTCAAATAAGAAAAAATTGATGAAAATTTGCAACATGATGCCACAAAGAAATGGTTCAATTTCTCCTAAAAAAATAAATAAATAATGCGTCGTTAAAAATAAGTGACATTATGCCATTTAGGAATAACTCCTAAAATTTGATATTATCCTTCTATAATGTAAAATCATAAAAGTAACTCGCAATGCGTAGGCGCAAAGCGGTTAGAGGGTGTACCCTGTACCCCTAGTTTAATAAATCTCGGATACTTATAACTTGCTTTCGATGTCATTTTTCATGATTTGCTCATAATTACATTTAATGCAGATTTTTAAAGATTAAAAAACATGACAGGTTTGTATACTTTAATCTAATTTTTTTGACATTTTATTTATTTTGTTACAGTATCTGCAATTGCTGTATAGTTTTTACCTTGTTATCAAATCCGCAACTTCAAGCTCCACCAGAGTTACTGAGGTGTCTTTGTGAAGAAAGGAGATGCAACAGCTCTCTGACTTGCGTGATGAAAAATGACGATAAATCTTAAAGTCTGCTTAAATAATATGCATGACTCAATAAAACAGTAAATATATCAGTTTACACTGATATGAGGCAAATAAAACTCAAACGTTCAGTTTTAGTTATTGTATATAACGCAGGGATATGACTAAAAACTGCGATGTCAGCTGTATGGAAAAACAAAATGCTTTCGACCCTGAATTTAGAATCAACCCCTAATGTTAACGAAGCATTACACTGAGGAAAGAACAAAGGATGATAATTAATCTGAATAGACTGAGCTCTTTCAAGGAATATCAACTGTCGAGGGACGCAAAGATCACAGAAAGCGACCGAGTAAAATAGTAGAATCTGTGAAAAATTTAAGAAAATTTAGGGGGGTCAGAGAGTTTTTAGTAATGACTATAGCACTATACGTAAAAATTAGCGGGTAGTTAATTGTTGCTTAAAATCTTCCGACCTCTAGTGATATCAAACTTCTAAACGTCTAGGAGAGAAAATGTATTTTTTACACTTTTCATCGGTATATTCGTATAAATGATTTCACTCAGTCGAGCGCTTTTATATCCTCCTTATACCGAAAGCAGAAATTAGCGAACGAAAATAATGGCTCATATTATTTTGAACTTTAAGAGAAAAAAAAACAATTTTTTTATTGGCTATGTGACTGAAATATATTGATTTTCACATATTTGCATTCATGGAGTTGATTTTTAAAGTTAACGAGTAGACACATCGACCTGGTGTATCGAGTCCCTGCAATTTTTTACGGCAAATCAGGGGGATATTCCAAATGTAGATAGCTTACTTTCAATTTATGAATAATGAATAAAGCATCGGATTTTCCTTTGAACGGTCCATTACTTTTACACCCTTTGCACATCCTTGCGCTCATCAACCTTAGATAATCTGTCGTAATCATGTGACCAGTCATTATAATCACGCATAAGGAAGCTCTGATCATTGTTGATAATAGCTCTGTGAAATAATCAATTCAGCAATAGGAAGTAAGGTCTCGTTCGGCTTTAACTGTGACCATGCCATACAGTTGGCTGGTTGAAGTGTCATTCACGCGGGTAATTTGGCAACATTGAAATGTACTAAAGTTCTTTCGTAAGGGAAACGAGGACTGCGGCATCGCCGTAGACTCGACAATTATCATGACTCAGTATCACTTCATCAATCTCAAATATATTGATAATTATGTATTTCATGACGTAACGCCAAGGTCAAAGAGGACTCTCGCTCAAGCTTCTAAACATCGCAGTTGGCCAATCGCATCGACTAGACACGGGGGAGGAGACAATTTCCATGATCCATTTCCGGTTTGTACATTTTTCTTAATTAATTTGAAGAGCAATATATAAAAGAGGGGGAGGGCACATTTGACCGCGCGAAGAGAAGAGAAGGAGCTTTAGTCCACGGGTGCTAAATTATAGCAAAGCAGCTTTTGTCAAGTTGGGCCGGAATACTGATTTTAAGATTTTGACAGAATGTTTCTTATAATGTCCTAAAGAAGAAATTGGGGAGCGTTCATAAATTACGTAACGCTGTTTTCGTACCTCCCCTGCCCTCTCACAGCTATTTGGGATGCAACCCTTAATCCCTTTTTATAATTATGTAATTCTTGACGGCCCTCGCTTCAGATCCCAAATCTTGAGAGAAAATATTGAATAAACAGCTAGATACACTTTGAAGTATTTTCAATGAAAGTCGGACAAATAACGTCGAAGAAAGATGATGATATTTTTATACTTTGTGCGGCTTGTGGAGGTAGGTACATTGCCAGTGTCGTACCTCCCGGTGTTGATTAAACTATTGTTCTGTTCTGTTTTTGAATATTGTTAGATACTGATGTAACAGTCCAGATGACTTGATGTATCCATTATTCCAGAAGAAGATATCATGAGCCCTAAAAGCTTGGACGGAAAAATTACGACTAATCATGAATTGTTAGTCTTAAAAACTGCGCGGCAGTTCAAATTTCTCCTCGGAGAAGTTTATTTGATGACAGACCGAATAAACTGGCTTTTGGTGCCACTAGTGTTACTGCAGCATATTTTGCAGCTAACAGGTGGGATTCTTCTTTTAACTGATGCCACCAATACGCGTTCGTCTGTGATGCCGGCGGATGCTCTTGCTCGTAAAATGCATTGCCTAATAGCGCCGGTAGGCTACACAACTCTTGCAATTTCTTGGCGGAAGACTAGCATGATGATTGAAATTGCCGAAGAGGTTAACAAACTTTTGTTAACCGACCAGGTAAGCGGCTTTATGGTTTTTTCCCCCAATTTCATCGCAGCAGATTAAATGGCACCACCAGCTAAAGAGAAAAATTATCAATAAATAGCACGACACATAATAAACTAATAACATAATCAACAAATTAACAGGATCACTGCTTAACCAATCGACAATGCTAACACTGCTTTTCCTCAATTTAAAATGAATATAAGACCATCAACGACCTTTACGGGTTCTCTAGGGCCGAAACATGTGAAAACATGTTGGCACTGAACGTAATAGAAAATGGGGAAAGTAGTAAGAACACAATCGAATGATATATTGAAAATAATCCCCTATGATGATGTGCATCGAGACACTAGCTGAATCAAAATGCTGCCATTTTTAAGTGTTATCTTGAATTTGTGATTTTTATGCAACGGGAATTTTTATAAAGAAAGAAATACATAATTAGTAAGCAAGATATTTTTCCGTACAGACGAAATAGTTTCAAGCAAAGTAGATTTTACATCTGTTTTTTTTTTTTTTTTTTTTTTTTTTTTTTTTTTTTTTTTTATTTTCAAAGCTCTTATGATGAGGTTTTGACCTGAATAGGTTATTTCGCCAAGCTAAATAGAAATTAAGAGTTTTCATTGACGATGTAGGGAAAGTGCGTTACCGCCAGAAATTCCTGCGCTTTTTTATCAGCCAATCAGACACCCGAATACCATTTTTTCATTTCCTATGAAAAATATCTGGAAATCTGAACATTTATGTATTTTTCGAAGTCAGTCAATTTTTCAGAAAGACATGTTCTCGGCTGACGGCGTTTTTTGACGTTTTTATTGATGTATTAATTTGTTCCATTTTCTCCAGAAAACACAAAAGGTCTTGATTTTTGAAATATAAATTTTCTTCTTATCGAGTCGATGTTTTTGGCTGCCCCTTCAGCTCTCTGGTCCAAAACATCGATCCAAATGGATGTAAATTGAGATTTCACGAGAATTTTGGCGTATTTAGGAAAAATTGGAACGCATTATACATCAGCACAAACGCCCACTCCTCGAGAAGTCAGTCGTGAGCATACACTTCTGCCGAAAAATTTGCTGAATTCGAAAAAAACACACGGTTAGGTTCCCAGGTTCCTTCCATACCATAAGGAATGAAAAGTGGTCGTCGTGTGTCTGATTGGCTGAAAAAAAGTGCGGGAAAATTGATGGTTATGTACACACTTTCCCTATAATCAATTCGGACTCTTATTTTCTCTTCGCTCCAAGCTGAAAATTAATTCCCTCGACAAGTTAGTTAATACATTCCTTCCGGATGCAGTTCCCCATTTCGAGTTCTATGCGTGCGGCAATCATCACAGACTTGGAGAACCGTCACCGGGTAATCATCATCTGTGTGATGTCAGGTGCACAGCTCATGGTTTTGTTCTACTTCGTGCCTCCTATCCTCAAATTCCTGACCAGCGCTCCGTCGTCGCGACAGCTTGACCTTCCGCTGAATTTGCCGGATCCGCTCGCTCTCATCGGGTTCACACCCACTGACGTATCACGTGCAATAGCCTATTTCATTTGCATCCTCAGTAATATGTCTCATTTCTACATCGTTTACCTCGGGAAATCGCTCACCTTCGTCATTATGGATTCCCTGAAGACAGCATTCTTCATCTGTGGACAGAGTTTAGAGACCTTTGGTCATGAAGGATTCTTGGATACGGAACAATTTTTGAGCGCTGTTAAGCTTCATCAACGTGTGCTCAGGTGTGTTTTATCATTTACATACTCCTTCAAATTTTTGAGAGAATTTTATTCGCCCTTTTTTAATAGTACATTTGAAAATTTGGAGGGAAACTATGAAAAAATGAACTGTCCACTAGAGGATTTTTTGTACACATACAGACATCAAGCCGTTTTCACAGCGCAACCTTGCGCTCTGCGACGCTCAATTGCCAGGCAATTGGCACCTCCTGATCTCCTCTTTCACTTCTTGTCGCTGCTAGGGCAACCGATCGTCTGCCATCCTCCGCACATGTCCATACTAGACCAACTGCTTGGACCTGATAGCGTGCACATAACATCGATATCGTGATTTTGTGTGATTTTTGGTAACATTTAAATTACTTTACGATATTTTCCTTTAGCACGGCAGCATACTGATAGGGACCAGTGACGTGGCGTGAATTGCGATATATCGATTGTTATGCCATTTAAACCTATGAAAAAAGATCGATTATCAGGGTGTTCGCAGCGAACACCTTAGTAATCGATTCTTTACCATAGTTTCAAATGGCGAGATATCGATAATCGATTATTCACGCCACGCCACTGATAGGGACCCGAATAGTTGAAATGTCATCGACTAAGTAATAACATATTTTCGAAGCATATAACGCATATTTAACGCATTTCAATGCATAATGGTATATTTTCCCTCCATCTACACATGCATTAATACATACATACATACATAAAGTCGCGATTATAGCGCCGCCTCGCGCTCTGCGACGCCCAATCGCCATTGCCCCCTATCCTCCCAGAGATCATCAGGCAATTGACACCTTCTGATCTCCTCCTCCACCCCTTGTCGCCAACCTTTCACAGGACGTCCACGCCGTCGCCTTCCGGGAGCGGAACACATGCATTAATACATGCAGTATACTACCCTCCAAAAATAACATAATATCGCGAGATCTTTCCTAGACGATACATGTTCTAAATCCTGAACCAACTGTTTCTTGGCCCAAAAAAAGAGGCCACATTCCGAAAATTTAAAATTTTAAAAACTGTTGACGGCTTTAAAATCATAGAGAATTACCCAACAGAACTCTGGAAATTATTCAGGCAGGTATCGAACATTCAAGAGGATCAAAGTATTCCACTAATGAATGTTTTTTCTCTCATATTTTTCAGATTGTCCTCAAAAGTGAAAAACGCCGTTGAACCCTACTTCATAGTGAGTTTGACAGCGTCAATGTGCTACAATACAACTTGTGCATTAGCAGTTACTCATCAGGTATATAATAATGAGTGCTGAGTGCATTGTGTGCGTTTAGAGTAGACTTTTTTACTCTAAACTTTTCCCCGGCCGGAGTATGAATTTCATTCCTGCCTAAGCTATGTTGCACTTAATGTTCCATGGACTCATGTAGAGACAGTTTTGGTGCATCAATCACTTTCGTGCATCTAAATTGTCCTCGAATAGCTCAATAACAGAAGTGTTCAAATCATTTTCTCTTTTCTGTCGATAAAAAAGGGATGGGAAATACATTCTCTACAGGTAATAAAATTAAACTTGTCAGGATTAATTGGGGCTAAGCGTAAGTAGCCTCTTCTATCTAACTCAGAGCACCCTCTTAGCGATTTCAGTTACCTCGCAAAAAAAAAAAAAAAAAAAAAAAAAAAAAAAAAAAAAAACTGATAAATTCAGAGCTCCTGATATTTCCGTGTGTTATATTTATTTTTCAAATTTATCAATATATAAATATGTTTCTATAATTTCTATTTTATCAAAAACATGTACCCCTATAACTATTACGCAATGGTAGTTGCTGCTTTTGAAGTAAAACATTGGAGCTATGATGTGTTGGTCATGATTGCAACAAACTATGAGAACAAGTGGACGAAATTTTGCAGTTAGGAACTGCAATTTCTGGCTCGTTCTAGAAACAACATTTGTGTCATTTCTTTCTTAATGCGCATGGGCTGGAAATATCAGTCTCTTATCAAAAAATGAAGTCCCATTTGAGAATGCTGCACATCAGAATTTGGTCTTTTGCGTATGTTTCAGGCACTAATGTTTTTGAAATGTTTTTCAATTTTCTGAACTGTCCAGGAATTTGATGTTCATAACGCTAAAATGATGTTCGGTATGATGGTTTCTCTTGCAATCATCAGCTGTCTTTTTATTCTTCCGGGTTCGACCACCCACCAGGTAAATGAATAAATCATCTTCAGAAGGAAAAAAAATATCCTCACTTATTTTCACGACAGCAGGATTGTGACGCACTTTCTTCACTGGAAATTTGCTCATTCCGAGGGTAAATTATCGCAGGTATACATAAAAATAACAAAATACCACACCACAGTCCAGTAATACTGTAGTAATGATAATTTAAGATATTTTCGTAGGTCTGGTAATCATTTTTCATTGTATTTCTAGTAAACAAAGAGACGAAAAGTTTGTCCTGAATGTACTAAAAATACAGAATAAGGCACTCAAAATGTTTAAAAATTGTCTTGAATTCTACTTAGGGTCCCTTAGGGTGCGTCAAAAAAATGAAAGTCTGAAATGTTCCGCTCCCCAGGCGGCAATCGATGACGTTTGGTAAAAAAACATGTTTGCCAAAATTTGGGCCAATTTCAATCATTTTAAATGGTGCCAAAGGTCAATTTTGTGATGAAATTATGATATTTTGGTTTAGACCTCGATTTCGTACAAAAAACTCGATTTTACGCTGAAATCGTGCGTTTACGAGAAAAATGTCAAAGAACTCGACTTGTAGAGGATAAAATTTTACACTAGGAGGACGTCTTTGTAACCGATAAAAATCAAATTGAACTAGAAAAACTCAACTCGGTATTTATTTTTTTGGTCCTCAGAATTTCCGAGGTCTTACTAAGTAGAGGTTTAAAAGACTCATTTTTCACGAAAATAAGTCGAAAGAGGGTATAAATGAACTGTAGGCAAGTGTTGAGGGTGCAAATGTCATCAGAACTTCCTCAGTTTCAAAAAAAGTTCCAACTATTTTGCACAATCCTCCAAAAAGTGTACGACTCGAGAAGCAGGATCGTGCTATAAGTGCGGTTTGACCGGGAAAAATTGCGTAACAAACTTTCCCTATGTAATCGTCATCGGTAGGTCCCCCTGAACAACTTTCTAAAAGTTAAAAATGGCCTGACCCCGGAATATCCCTCAAAAAAGTTAAAATTGAAAATGGCGGCCGTAATAAGAGGGTCCGGGAAATCGGTATTTTAAAATGCTAATTCTGTCTCATCATGTAAGGTAGCATTTCCTATGTAATTTTGGTCGTAGATTTCATAAATGAATTCCGCAAGGCCTCTTCTGAGCTTACGTTTCTCTCGGTAGTCGTATGTTTCCTTTAATTTCCTTTATAAATACATTTATAACATCAAATTTAAGTTTCTTGGCCATAAATACATGAAAATAAAGACACTTCACTTTCCTTGTTCCTTCGTTGAATATTTAAAAAAATGCAACCTCCTGCCTTTCACATTTGGCCGCCATCTTTGATTTGGAGCGCCCCCTTTGGCCGGAAGGCCTTGCGGAATTTATTTATGAAATCTACGACCAAAATTACATAGGAAATACTACCTTACATGATGAGACAGAATTAGCATTTTAAAATACCGATTTCCCGGACCCTCTTATTACGGCCGCCATTTTCAATTTTAACTTTTTTGAGGGATATTCCGGGGTCAGGCCATTTTTAACTTTTAGAAAGTTGTTCAGGGGGACCTACCGATGACGATTACATAGGGAAAGTTTGTTACGCAATTTTTCCCGGTCAAACCGCACTTTCCCCCTACTATTATAGCACGATCCTGCTTCTCGAGTCGTACACTTTTTGGAGGATTGTGCAAAAAGTTGGAACTTTTTTTGAAACTGAGGAAGTTCTGATGACATTTGCACCCTCAACACTTGCCTACAGTTCATTTATACCCTCTTTCGACTTATTTTCGTGAAAAATGAGTCTTTTAAACCTCTACTTAGTAAGACCTCGGAAATTCTGAGGACCAAAAAAATAAATACCGAGTTGAGTTTTTCTAGTTCAATTTGATTTTTATCGGTTACAAAGACGTCCTCCTAGTGTAAAATTTCATCCTCTACAAGTCGAGTTCTTTGACATTTTTCTCGTAAACGCACGATTTCAGCGTAAAATCGAGTTTTTTGTACGAAATCGAGGTCTAAACCAAAATATCATAATTTCATCACAAAATTGACCTTTGGCACCATTTAAAATGATTGAAATTGGCCCAAATTTTGGCAAACATGTTTTTTTACCAAACGTCATCGATTGCCGCCTGGGGAGCGGAACATTTCAGACTTGCATTTTTTTTGACGCACCCTAAGGGTCCCTGTTTAGCTGTAGGGTGTCGCTGCCCTTCAGATCTTCCCTCACGCAACGCTTAAATCGACCTTTTCAGGTTAAAAATCGTAATTTCGGTACTACTCTCTCGTCAAACTTGATAACGTGCGTGATCGTACTCAAAATTTTACAATTTTTCCAAACCTCTAAAACTCCGAATATAATTTGTGCACAGGCTGAAGATCTGGCTAATCGCATATACTTCAATGAAAACTGGTTGGTACGAAGACTTAAATGTGCTTGCCACTTCCCATTCATGATAATGCGATCAAACAAACTAGTAAAATTTCGAATTTACAACTGTTGGGTGGTGTCGGAAGAAAATTTCCTCAAGGTAAATAAAGAATCTATTTGTTTCTACTCCTGTACGTGTATGATGTATTTGTACTTTTCGCACGTTCAGTGTCAATACTGATTATGATAATATTGATAACTATATTTTGATTCGTCGAATGCTCAAACAGGCAAGCAAATGCGTCAACTTTGTGTTTTTTAATCTTCAACAAACAAACAAATGAGTTTCTTATTTTTACAATATAAATCATAAGTAACTTTACACATTTGTCAGTTCAGTATAATTGAATAAAATGCCTTATCAATGAAATATTTTTCGATTCTTCTAGAAAATATCTTGCTATCAGCCGTGTCTAGCTAATATCTTTCGGCAGTAGAAATTTTATTTTATTCCCCGTGTTAATAATATGCACGTCACACAATTTTTGTCATGGGAACGGAGTTCCCCATGATATTAGAATCGTTCCGTTGCTTTCGCTATAGGATTCCCTATACCTCTGCGACCTTGAGCGTTTCGCCCAGTCTCCGATTTTTGGTTGATTTTCCGATGTATCAAAATCCGTTGTATTTTTTAGCCAATCATGTCTCTACGTCAAGTTGTGTTGATTGCTAAAATTCGCTTTCAGCGAGTTTTTTTCCACCTTGAGATGTCGTGTCTGACTGGTAAATCTGCGCAGAACCACGAAGTTCCGTTTTTAGGCAAATTTTTTTTTTGGGAGGTTCTGATTGGTTATTTTTCGCCATCAGTCTTCTGTTCGTTGGTGCAAAAGATCGCCTACCTCAGTGTTCTTGAGAAGCCGCCATTATCCCACCTCAAATTTGAAAAATAGAAGTAAAGAAATAATAACCATCGTACAAGGTGGAAAATTGTTCTGGAGGACTCGTTACGGATAAAGAAGTCAAAATCAGAGCTCGATTGATTGATTTAATTCATGGATACGCAAATATTGCCTTAGCTCAACTGCCGCGATCGGAATGCATGGCTGATGAACCTCGAGACGCATTAAAACAGTGCGAACCATGGCTCCTACAGCAATGCGCTTCAAAAGCAGTCAAGGTCTCTTGTGATAAGTCCCGCCCATTGCCCGAGTCTTTTGTATGCTATTTTTACTCACCCTCACGTGGATCTGTTATTGCCTAGTTTACTAAACCGCCTAGTATTTTTGATTAAGTGCGGGCACCCGGCGATCGGGAGTTCGATACCCGACGATGGGAACTACTTTTTAATGGTTGTATTGAATGTTTTAGACTAATCATCAAAAAATAATTAATAGTAGATGATAAATGTGCGAACATTTTCTCGTGAGTTAATATTTTAAACAAAAATACTGGAATATACCTCCTTCATATAATCAGCCACATGTTCCCCCAAATTAATGACGTTATTTTCTTTTTTCAATAAAGTTAATTTGCATTCAACGTTCGTAAGTTAAGCGAAAAGTACCTATTGATACAAATAGAAAGACATGAAAATAGTATGTCTAACATTTCAGTTGTTTTTTTTTTTTTATTTATTTTTTGTTTTTTTGTTTTTTCAATAAAACAAATTGACCGGGACTAGAATCATCGTATCTCTGAAGACAAAAGCTAAGTTTTTTGATACAGAAATACTAATATATTCATCCTTTATATAATCAGGGAGATGTTGACCCAAATATTGATGTATATTTTCTCTGTTCGCCAAAATTAATGATGGTATTTTCTTTTTTCAATAAAATTAATTTACATTCCACGTTCTTAAAGCAATAGTTTCTCCAAAATTCAGCAAAAAATAACAATTTATACCTACGCAAAAAGTAAATAAATAAATAAAGCAATGACATGAAAGTAGTATAGGTAGTACACATCTAACATTTCGGTTACATCTATTTGAATGAAAAAAATGGCAACTTAGGAAGCACATAGGTCACTTATCGACGGTGAAACTACCAAACCACGTATCTCGGTTTGCGACGTCGCAGACTTCCTGTCATACTTTATTTTTTAAATGAAAAGCTACTTAACGTCCAGTCTTGAAAATTTCCGTGATTTTTCCTCTTCGTGCGGAGAAAATTCTGTGAAAATTTCAAGGAATGATATTGATTTGGTCTACTTCAAAAAAATAAAATGTGAGCGGAGATTTTTAAACACCGCAAACGAGATACGTGGTTTGGTAGTTTCACCGTCGTTATGATGCGTATTCGGGCATATGCGTAGAGTAAAAATATCATACTTTACGCCGAAAAAACGAAACTGAAAGTTAAATGCGTTAACTTCCAAAAACCATACATAATCCAACGAAAATAAATAATTGGTAAATAACAGCTTTCTTGTATGCAAAGAAAAAAAAATTAAAAATGTTAAAAAAGAGATGTCGACACAAAATTACATAGCCCCTTCAATTCTGAAGATACTACAAACGAACTGTACCTTAAAATTTTCATATCCCAGAAGCAAAAGTTCCCATGACGAATATTGCTATCGCTAGCGATTGCAAAAACCAACTTGTTTATTTTTGTTGGCATTTTGACACATATACGTTGCTCTCCTCAAAATTATCTTTGAAGGGAAGGTTAGCAGTTTTTTTGTTTTTGAACATTTCACGGCATGAGGCATCGTTTTTCAAACCATAAATAATTCTGAAAGATTTCTTTTGTGATCTAAAAATTCCTTCTGTCACTTTTCTACAGCAGAATGACCAGGTTAATAGACAATCATTCTTATGTCCTTCAATTAGTGATCGATAAATTAACATCAGTATATTCAGTTCACAATTTTTTTAAATATATATTAATAGAAATATATTTTGCTAATTTTGCTTGAACGGTTGTCGATGTGTGTTCCAAGACTCAAATTACTATCTAACCACAGACCTGGATATTTCAGTACTTTTGACCCTTCACTCCTTGTCTCATTAACTGCAATGTTAATGAAAATATCAATTTTTTTTGAGACGACTATAAATTTAGTTTGTACTTCCTTCATTGAATGTAATTTCGTTTCTTTTTACCTTTATGTTCCAGTATCTACAACTTCTGTATAGTGTTTATATTGTTTTGCAATCTACTTTTCCGAGTTCTACAAGAGAAACTGGCCCGAATGCTATCGTTAAAGTATCCAGTTGAGTGAGCAACCACCATCAAGTAACTGGACCAATGAAATTAATTTTCAATCTGGGACTACTTTGAAATTATTTTCGTGACTCATGGACAATTTTATAATTTGCCACGTTATAATCATAATGCTCTAAGTTGAATTTTATGTTCAAATGGCTTTTATTAGTTTTAAAAATAATCGATTTGGATGTATGAGCTTTTTTTATAAAATTATCTTTAATTTCGTCATACATAACACATTTTAACCAGATAAAACCTTAAAAATTTGCTAAAAAGACTAGTCATGTATTCGTATATTCCCAAAACCACGTTAATCACCAATAACAGATGATTTTTTTCTTCTTTTTTTCCAACCGACTATTTCTTTGTGCAAGAAACGAAAATACTTGAGTTGTATTTTTCAAAGTAAAATCTCACAAAATGCTCTTTGAGCCAATCAGAGATGTCTAAAATCCGGCCATTTTAACAATAATTGAGTGTTAAATAAAACTTACTTTTGAACTATTCTGCCTGCTGGCACATGTTTCTCTTTCATCTGGTTTGTCTGAAGAGTTGGAAGAATACTCATCTTAAATATGAACACACGATGTTGCAAACTACTACAAATCTTTCTCTAATATGATTTTCATTGATTTGAAGCATTTGTTCTTTCACATTGCTTAAGAAAAGTAAGCGAAATTTAAAGCCCAGAAAAGAGAGAATGCACATAGTAGTTTGCGAGATTCTTTCGTGTGTTTGTATGATAGATTTCTCACATAGCTCTAAGCAGAGCTGATTGTCAGAAAAGTACCCACGGTAAGCCTGAGCTAAGGCTTGCACTGCCTTGTAAGAGTAGTAGTATTAGTAAAAGTACCAACAGCAGTAAAATAAAAAAGATAAAAAAGAACGAGAATTCAACTCGGGGTATGGGAACTTTCCTGTGCCGTATCTTTGTCGATTTAGTTGTTTTATAGAAGTAATATTTCCAGGGCTCTAGTAATTTGAATGAAACTGAAATTGAATAGTAGTAATTTGAACTGGTAATTGACTAGTAATTTGAATGCTGGCATTTTTAGACGGAACTTGAATTCTGCCTGATATGAATAACGGTGCATATTCTTACGTGTCTGAAACCCTGTAGATTCAAGGCAATTTCAAGTAGATCCAAAGTAAATGGTATTTCCAGGAGTAGCTTAAAATTTTAGCCCAAGACAGCAGAATATTAACTTCTAGAAAATTATGTTTGGACTGTAGGAAAATTTTGCATTTAGACGAGACGGGTTTTCATGAGAACTGATATTCCTCTTGAAGGAATGGGAGACCTTTGCCCTTAACGAAATGAGATTCTCCTTACAAGCAGAATTTTCTTCGTCCGCCACCCAAAGGACGCACATGAAAGGTCAATGGAGCCCCCGGAACTTCCATTTGGACAACATTTGCAATAAAAAACTCAAGTATGACACATTTAGTGAAAACACATTGGCCATCGGATACAGATAGATCACCGTGTTGATGAGCCAAAAATCGTAGTTTTCTATTGCAAAAAGCGGTCCATTCCAGCCCAAAGGCTTTAATTTTATTAGACACGAATGATTAACGACAACCTAGCTTAAACGAAATATTATTAGGCCAACATTTTTCAAATCCGGAAAACTCATGTTAGAAACAACGTATGTGCCAAGTGCCATTATACTCCTTTCGTATGCAGGTGTTTTTATGGGTGATTCAGAAACAGAAGCTATTTATTGCAAAAATGTCATAGTCATTTTCAGGACGTTTCATTGTCCAACAGGACTTCAGAGAAATGCTGAGCCATCAAATTTTTCCCTTGAAATAATAAAAAAAGTCTTGAATTTTGGCCAGTTTTTATAATAATAATAAAAAAAATACAATAAAAAATACACAAATCCATGATAATTTATTTAGTATGCTCTTTTTATTTGGCAACTTAACCGATTCTGTAGCTAAATAAGTTTCAATATAGTAATCTTTTGGACCGAAACGACGGTTGCACTATCAAAATTTTACAATCCATATTGAACACCATGGATCCCACCATCGAAGTTCTTTGCAAAGTGCTTCTTTGCATTGAGCAATTACACCTCGCTAAACCATTAAGTCCACTTTTGATGAATTAACGTGACCATACATCGCACGTCACAAAGTCCTAATCGATATAATGTGACTTTGAAAAAGTATCAATTCTCAACGGAGCAATAAGGGAGGAATGGCTTCAGCATTGCTAACCATTGCTTTGACAAAGAGGTAACAATTATCATGGCTTCTGCGGTAATCAAGTACTCTCCAATGAAGGTGAAGGGCAAATAGCATTTACGATCAATACCGGTCGGCCAGGCGCCTTGCTTGGACTCACATAGATAAGTGTTGTTTATGGACCATTTCTGATGGTTGGTATGCAGTTTTCATTGCACGATTAGAAAAAAATAAGAACAAAAACAAACCTCCCCCCTCCCAAAAACCAACAAATAAAATGTTTCGCAGATGAGTGGAGATTTATTAAGAGGAGCAAATTCGGTAACAAAATTGGGGTTGAAGATTTCGACGGAATATTACTTCGAGTGTCATGAAGAATAAATTCCAAGCAGGTTAGTTCATTTTCAATACCTCATCAAGGCAGTAATCAACCATTTTAATCATTTGATGACGTCCTGTAGGCACATTAAAAAGAATATGAATGATAAATTCTCGCGTCGCAAATAAACAGAAATGTATGAACCCTGCTACAGCAATGACTTAAAACAAAACTTAGAGAGTTACGAATTTATTGTGAAAATTTTCAAATTTGCCACTCATATTTACAGAATAAATGCTACTCCTTGAATAAATAATGATTGAATTTCATATTCGAACACACTATCTGACGAGGGATTATTCTTTAAAACATTAAACTTGAGAATTTTTCTTAAAAATGCAAAGAGTACATTGTTTTTACGTGGTCGAAAAACTACGCAACGGTGCTATTTTTCAACGAAAAAATAAACGCACCCAATTGAAATGCACACAAAAAATACAAGCTTTTTCAGACAGAAGAAACGAGACTCAGCCTTTGTTGTAAAAATGAATTCAAATGAACTCACCCAATGAATGTCAATGTCAATGGACATGCCAAATAAATTTAAATCGGCATGCATATAAAATTAACCGGATTTGTCAAAACTAAAGCCAGCAAGGCAAACAATTTGGGCAAAATGATTGTAATATTATTACATGTTAATGTTAAAAACAAACCAAACCTGGAACAAAGACAGAATTCACCATGGCAGCCTAGAGGAACTTGGTTCCGTCATCAAGCCTGCAATATAAATTCTTCTGTAGTCTATACGACCTTCTAAAGTAGTTCATCATTTGCTCTCATGTCGTTTCTCTTTAAAATTACGTGAAATCAGACGTTAATGGTGGTGTTATTGTAAAGATGCATTGAAAGCCTGAAAGTTAGTGTTGACGCGCATATTTGTTGAATATCGATAAAACATTCCGATAACTATCTATCTTTATTATTTCAGGCAAAATACCTATTTTTGATGGAGGATTGAAAGCAAATATTATGCCTAATCATGAATTGGTGGTCTTGAGAACAGCACGCAGGTACAGAATCGTTCTAGAGAGGTTGTTTTTTATTACAGAGTCTAAAATAAGATGGATTTTGGTGCCTTTGCTACTGCTACACCACACCACGATGATATTGGGTGGGATTCTTCTTGTAGTTGATGCCACCGCTGCTTATTCCTTGTTGATACCTGCTACCCTTGCGCAAAAACAGCACTGTATTGTAGTTCCTGGGTGTTACATGACATTAGCAGTTTTTTGGCAAAAAAGTAGACTGTTGATTGAAGTTGCCGAGGAGGTCAACGAAGCTTTGCTCATAGACCAGGTAAACGGATTTGCATATTTTTTTTTTTTTCGAATTCGTCCTCATCAAACAAATCTTATCTAATTGAAGGGAGAATATAAAAGTTTGAAGAGAGTTCGAAGCCCATGTGATGAAAATCCATGAGGAGGATGTAACACGAGTTGAAATAAAAACGAATTGAAAGGAGAGAAAGTACACCAAATTAACGAGGTTTGAGGGCACAACGAGAGACCCGGACAGCGTGGTCAACGCCGGGAGGGTTCCAATTGCTGCCCCACAAAATTTGTAAAAATGCCTAAATCCGAAGATTTGGTCAATACATCTCAAAATAAACTCTTCGCCCTTTTCAACCAGAATATTTGGCAAATATATCCTAAAAAAATGTTTCAAAAAATATTAACGGCACATTTAGCTTTACTTTGTGTTCTGCTTCTCATGTAAACACAAAAATGTAGCTCACTATCTTCTACCGTGTGCGGCTTGCATAGTTCGCAAATTAATTGTGGTGATTATTGTAAAATCTTAAGGATAATTATTTGCATAATTTTTATAATTTCTAATTATTATTTAAAGAATTTTAAGCAAACCTAGGATTGCATTCGGTTCAACATTTTCAACCGATATAATACCTACTAAATGAAGCGTATATTTATAAGTATTCTCAACTCTCTCAGTTAAGTCATGACCTAAAATCTATACTTCTTCTTTCGTCAAACTGCTGACTTGTTTTCACAAAAATACGATAAATGCCTTGCCCACGCAGCTACCAATCGCAAATGATTTGCGTGCAGCCGTCATCACAGACTTGGAGAATCGTCATCCACTAATCGTCCTCTATATGACGTCGATATCGCAAGTCTTAATTTCGTTCTACGTTCTGTCTCCTGTCGTCAAATTTCTGACCAGTACTTCACCACTGCGACAACTTGAGCTCCCGCTAAATATGCAGGATCCACTATCTCTTGTCGGGCTCACCACCACTGACGTCACACGGGTAATGATCTACTTCATTTTTAGCACCTGTCTCATGGCTACCTTCTTCATCATATACCTAGGAAAATCCCTCAACCTTATCATTTTGGATTCCTTGAAGACAGCATTCTCCATTTGTGGACAAAGCTTTGAAACCCTCGGCCGTGACGGTCCGTCGAATATGGAGCAATTTCTAAGCGCTGTCAAACTGCATCAACGTTTGTTCAGGTGAGCGTTTAACCAAGGGAGGCAAAGTGAACATCTTTCGCCTACAGAGAAAAGGCAGAAGGTGATCCGGAGTCTTAATTTAGAAGCTAAAAGCAAATCCAAACTGAAATAAGTACAAGTCCAAAATAAGTTAAATTTTACAGCCTTCGGTTTGATACTTCACATTCACAGGGAGTCCGGAAGTTAACATACTTAACTCTCAGGATTGATATTTTAGGCTCAAAATATGACTATTTTAGGCTCAAAATATGACTATTTTATCCCACACACACATGCCCGAAAACGCTTCATAAGTGATGCTATGCGCTTCTAAAGTTGCCACCTTTTTTCCATCAAATTGATGTAATTCCTCGCTATTTTGTCGTAAGTAGCTGTAACTTTGTGTAGGGGAGTATTTTTTAGCTTACTGTTCAATTTTTTTCGTATATTCAAGGAATTACGTCTTCCGAAAATGACGTTGCAAGCGTTCCAGAAAATTGCAATAACTTTTTTGGTAGATGATATTTGGAAAAACGAATTACGGCATACGTGAAAAGAGCGCGAAAAATTAAGGTCACCAGGTACTTCACATAATTTTCCAAAAACGTGTCGTTTCGACGCAACAGAGCTTTGAACAAGTTTTAAATTTTTGAAGCTCCATACTGAGTAGGCAATTTCTACAACAAAGCTTTTGTTTTTGCAACGTAAAGAAAGAAAAAGGAAGCAAACAATTGAAAACAAATGAAATCATACAAGCTAATTAATCGTTTGTTTACTTTGAGTAGTTGTTTCTGACTCCGCTGACTGCTGTGCCAACCTGGTCGGCGGTGATTGAGAAAAACTTCCTGCTGACGCGGGAAAATTGAAAAGCGTGTTACAAAGTACGCAGCTTGAGCAGAAAGGAATAGATTTCAGGCCTCTTTAACGTGCTCAACATTTTTGACTTTTGAGCAGATTTATCCATAAAAAGTGTACTCAGTTGGCTGTGTATCTTGCGTTGAACATGCCTATTTTCCATTGAAACACGGCAAACTTGTATTTCTTGTCAAAGTACGCTCTAGAGATCTGTCGAAGCAAATTTATTCTAATTCAGGTAATACTTTGACAGGAAAGGGGCAGTTATGAAATTAGGGAGTCTCTGATAATGACGACTTTTTTGTTCGATTTTTTTTTTTAGAATTACCTTGAAAGCGAAGGACGCCATTGAATCCCATATGGCGATAAGTACGGCTTGGTGCGTTTGCTATATTTCCATTTGCGCATCAGCGATTATTCAGGTATAATAACCGACAGTACATTGCATATGTAAAAATAATTGTACACATGCAATCAATACTTTGTCTCCGATGGGGCACATATTGTTTCCATTCTCTCCAATATCATTTCGGCCTCAATCTCTCCCGAACTCGTGTAGAGACATGCTTCAGTATAAAAGCTAGAGGTGTCGTCTGCTAAGTTGACGGTTGTTTACTTTCGGTTTGCAAGCGCCGACGACGATTATGGGCCTATCCACAGACCCTCGCTCGCTACTGTCCATCTTGAAAACATCCGTCTTATGATCATATTGTAAACAAACTATGTTTCAGTTATGACTGGCGACCTTTACGTGGTTGTAATTTCATTGTAGCTGAAAAGTAGAGTTATTCGATGTTTGAAAGTATTAAAAAACCAATTCAATCTTGTGTTACTTTGTTAATCATTCATGACCGCGAGAGTCCGATATTTTTGAGATGGATAGTAGCGAGCGAGGGTCTGTGGATAGGCCCAAAATCGTCGTCGGCGCTTGCAAACCGAACGTGAACAACCGTCAACTTAGCTGACGACACCTCTACCGTCGGAGTGTTCCAATTTTCACCCGTGGCCTAAAAAAAAAATCCAGAAAATGAATGTAGTATTTGCTTCCTTTTATTGACACCAAAATTCATGACAAATGTATTCTTTGGAACTATGATGAAATAAAACTCAGCGCAGTCGGAGATCAAGGAGCATAAAGTGTACATATATTGTTATTTGACTGAGACTAAAAGGAAAGGACATGTTTCCGATAATTACGGTGATTATGATATGTTCTACAGCGGCGTACCCGAAGACCAGTGTACACAGCAAGGGGTAGCTATAATGATGCGGAAGAGTCTACGTAGATTTGTTGTTAGTTGGGAGGCTATCAGCCAGCGCATCAGTAAAATGAACTTGAACTCATACGGTCATAAGATCACGGTACTCGGGGTGTATGGGGTGAATGATGATGCCACTGTCGCAGTTGGGGACCAATTTTTTGAAGATTTGAATGAGGGCCGAGGAAATCACAGAAGTGGCAGCTGGCCGAGAACTCGTAATTGTTATGTGTGATTTCAACAGCAGAGCCGGAGGGTAATAAAAATAAACATACCATTCTAATCATTAAATTGTTGATGATTTCTAAGTTAAATATTTAAATCACGACTTCTAAAATTACTCATGATAATTGTACACTAATATATTTTACTTTCATTTCAATGTTCCTGAACCGTCCAGGATTTTGGTGCTCAAAACGTTAAAATGATGGTCGGCGTAATGATTTCTCTTTCAGGCATCTGCATTATATATATTCTGCCGGATTTGACTTCTCAACAGGTAAGAGCGTCTAAAAACCAGATCGACTAAATTTGATTTCTAGGCATGTTTCATACCTAATCATATAATATCCAAATCTATCAATCACAGCATCATCAAGCTTAACGATAATGTACCATAACTGGAACGGAGCGCACACAAAGTTAAAACGTAGAAGGAGTAATTTTCACATAGAAATATTGAATTACTTTAAGTTCCGTGATTTCAAATTAGTTTCCCACTGAGAGAAGTTGTGATATTGAGGTCAGAAAAAATAGAAATTGTTTTTTGCAGGTGACATCGTGTAAATTCACGAGAAGAGCTGCAATTTACGCGGTTTCGTTAAATAATTCTAAATTTTTCCAAATATTCTTAAATTTTCATGATCAGATGATTTTGGTAGAAATTTGGGTTTTTTTTTTTTTTTTTTTTTTTTTTTTTTTTATATCAGGGACATTCCCCTTCTATCTTTATTATCGTATTTAAGTATTACATATATTACATGAGATGAGTATATAACATAAGGTAAGTATTGTTAGAGATATGTAGGCATAAATAACAACTTGATTACTTGATATACGATAAAAGGACGGCAAATATCAAGGATATATCCATCGCCCAGTTACCAGAAATTTGGGGTGGAATTGGATTTGGTAGAATTGTAATGGGGTGCATCTAGACACTCATGGAACACCTCCCAGTAATTCGATGAACTCTATACTCTCGATACAATTTGTTTATCATTTATAGTCTTCTTTGAGAACTGTGTAAAAACAATGTTACTTTTAAACACTTTTCGAAAATTGAGGCTATTCTTTACTCGTTTCACATCAATCTGTAAATTCACCAAAGGAAAAATGAAAGTTTTCCGGAGACTTACTATCCCGTAGGTCTTAAACGTGCTTCTCCTTAAACAATTTAAAACTCTGAATCTTTCAATATTACTCTTGCTCAGGCTGGAGCTCTGGCTAATCGAATTTACTTTAATGAAAACTGGTTGACGCAAAGACTCGAGTTCGCTCATCACTTCCCTTTTATGATAATGCGAGCAAATAAACCGGTAAAATTTCGAATTTACAACTGTTGGGTGGTGTCGACGGAAAATTTACTAAAGGTAAATGAAGACTTCATTTTCTTTATTCTTCTTGTATCTGATATCTTTCAATGCTAATCTTTGCAATTAACATCAATATTGAGGATACATAACTACTTCACCAATTCCTAGTTTTTTTAAAAAAAATACTTGTTAATAATATTCTTCTGGCGAGTAAGAGAAATAAATACTAGGAAGACTCTCACAAAGTAACATATTTCACTGATAAAATGATCACGTGGGCAAGCAAGATTTTGTGCGTGTTTGTTTTTAATTTGTTTCTATACGGAGTGCAGGGTTCACATTTGCTGGAGGCAACATTTTTGAACTTTCTGATGCTTTAAATTTTTAATTTTTTTTTTGTCTCGAGTGATTTCTTCATAGACTGTCATCCCCTTTTAAGCAGTCTGTCCGGCATAAGAAATACAGCCGACTAAGTACACTTTCCTTTTGGTAAAATCGCGCAAAAATCACATTGAACATATCAGAAATGTTTAAGAAACTGCGAAAAGAACCATTATCTTGGTTAATATCGCGAGTTTTTCAGATTAGCCGCATCTGCGGCGGAGTATACGAAGAAATGATGATGGCGCTCCCCGCCAAGATAGTTGTTTCAAAGGCCACCAGAGACCTTCATTTTTTCTCTTAAAAATATTTCTCTTGAGTACGATAGAGCTAATGAGAAAAACAAACGGGAAAAGCGGTCAGTGGAGTTGAAGAGTCTTTCAGTATAAATTTACTGCTATGTGTTTTTAAATGTGCATTAATATCATTCAGTATAGTTCTTCAAATATCATTTTAACATTTGAAACGGTGCTTTGCTTAAAACAAATGAAAGAAGTGAAAGGGCTAAACTTCGCCCGGCAACGCACTTGACACGGGCTCGCTCTGGGGGCGTAAAGAGCGTGAATATTTCGGGGGCGCCTAAGAGGCGAGGTCTCCACCAATCCGCGAATTTTAGGAGCCACGGATAGCTCACATGGTTGAATGATGACAAGACAACAATTGATGGATTAAATGAATGATTGATTGATTTAATAATCATAGACAGAATACACGAATCAAATTTCAGAACAACGAAACCGAAAAACACAACTAAATCTTCTTCAAAATCTTCCAAACTTCCAAAAACTCTCCAAAACAACCGAAACTCAAAAATAGACAAAAACTACAGCTAGCACACCAGGACTTGGCGGGGGCAACGGTCGGACGACTCTAATGTGCTGATCCTCTATGCCGGGGGTCTCGCGGAGGCTGCTGACGAATTTTTACTCAAAACGTTGACGGAAGGGTTGAACCGCACTCAGTGACTTGGCGGGAGGCAACGGTCGGACGACTCTAATGTGCTGATCCTCTATTCCAGAGGTCTACGGAGGTTGATTCGACACCGCCGAAAAACACTTTGAGGACTCAGGGATGGAATTTTACGTGCACCTGGACATTACACGGAATCGCGACATTTCCCATCCCGGCGAACATGAGCGACTGAGTTTAGAAATTTTCCGGAAAACGCGCGTCACCGTGCACCGCCGCTTCCTACGTCCCGCGCGTCCTGCCCCTTTACGCCAATAGCATCTCACGAAAAGTGCTGATCAATCTAGGGCTGGCCGCGGTTCACACGGGAAACAAGAGCAAAATCTAACCTATGACGTCACAACATTTCCTCCTCGCTGAGCCGCTGTCCGGCAAGCGATCTGCGCTATTCTCCCAGTACAAGGAGAACATGAATAATTTTTAAGTTTAGGGCTCAATTTTCGTTTCAGAAGGAAAAAATCCCCTCTAATTTCAAGAAGAAAATAACTATCAATTATTGCTACATACATACATAATAATTTGTATATTACTTATTAAAATTATGTATACAACCAAAATAATATAAATGGTTTTGTGTTCTTGAAAAAAGAAGGAAAAATAACTTTTTCTTAAAAATTCAAAAGAATTTATTGAATACAGAAACATCGCTAAAATCGATTGAACAGGAGCTGAGAGAACATTTTACGTAACCTTCGCCATCATGGATTTTTGAATTTTAAAAATTCGATTTTATCGTCAGAAAATAGCCCCTGGTTACCCATTCATTAAAATCAATCCAAACATGAGCCTTTATTTCATCTATACCTACAAAGAGATGAAAATTCTCAGAAAACTTC